AACACTCCTAGAGAGCGGGTTTCGGAAGATCTAGGGTTTTTTCAAGGCTTGCTGAACAATATCCCCGTAACCACTGAGACAGTTGAAGTACTCAAAGCCTTCCGTCTCGGAAAACGGACCAAAAGTCTGCCAACACCAACACGGCCCCGACCTCTCAAGTTTGTGCTGGCTTGTAAGGAGCAAGCTAAATTGATTCTATCTCGGCGCTTCAGAATAAAAGGGACCAACCCCAGCGTTTTTTTTTCAACCGGATTACTCACCAGCAGAGAGGCTGAAACGTCGTCTTCTAGTTCCAGAGCTGAGGAAGAGACTCAGCGAAAGAGAACGGAATTTGGTTATCTACAACAACCGAATCAGACAGCGCCCATCATCCTTTCTTTGGGCGGGCCCGATCCGGATGACCGCGCAACTGGAATAGTAGGCAAAACTCCTAGACGCACCAAAATTACTTCTCTGCCAACCATAAATCGTAAACCGAGATTTCTATATACAAATGTGCAGAGCATGTTATCGAAAATTGACGAGCTAAAGATCAATCTATCTGATCTATCCCCGGATATAATCTCACTTACAGAAACTTGGCTGAACCAGCAGGTGGACAACCGTGAGTTAACTATACCAGGATACCAGTTGTTTAGAAGAGACAGGTCAGGACGTCAGGACGGAGGTGTACTCACGTATGTAAAACACGGTCTTATAGTCTCAGACAAAACAGATAAACTTTCGTGTACTTCTGAGGCAATTTGGCTAACTATAAAAGCACCGTGTTCACAGAGCCTTGACGCCTTAACGGTCTACCGACCGCGGAGAAATGATCCCACGGCGGACGCCCGTCTGATTGAGGACCTGGAAAGATTCTCTATCTGGTCTGACGTCTTAATTATGGGGGACTTCAACACACCTTTTATCGACTGAAGTTCAGCTTATGCATCTGGTCCAGACCATGCTTTCGACGGACGTTTGCTGGACATGACCCTCAAGTTATTTTTCACTCAGCACGTCTCTGTTCCGACGAGGGTGCGCGAAGGGCAACAGTCAAACTGTCTGGGTCTGCTCCTTACAAAGTCACTGGACAGCATTGATGAGGTGCAAT